GTTGTTTGGATTTGAAGGCTATAGATGAGCGTCAGATAGTATGGAGTGTAGTTATCCAATTTTGGCATGATTTAGACAGCTCTTTGGATGTCAGATCAGCACTTGGTTTGCTCCACTGGCTCCTAGTCAGTTTTCAGTATTGTCTAAGGCTTTGGTCTTGGTCTTCAAAGCAACTGTTGGATCAAACACCCCAGCTACATCAAAGGCTGTATTTCTATTTGTGAACTGCCAGAATAGCTGTATTCCTTTGGGGCAATGCAGATGATGAAATATCAGAGCAACCATGCATCAGCTTGGGACACAGTATTGTGGGTTGGGGGTACAGGCTATGAAAAAAGAAACCTGTGAGGCAATCAGGTGAATCCAGAGTAAGATGTTCTGAAGGAAATGCTGTTAAACCTCTCTGTGTTCCATCATAAATATGATGCAGAAACAATTCCCATTTTTATTTGAAAAATAATAGTCAAGAAGAAAATTAATAAAATTTGGAATTTTGTCAGATCATGAAAGGGATTATATTTTTAAATATCCCTTTATATGACCTGTAACATGCTGAATTTTTAAGTTTTGTAGGGTAGCCTCCTAGCAGTATTTAAAGCTTACCTTTTCTTAGCATTAAAGTCATAAACACCACTTACTAGGAAAGGCCATATTATCAGCAAAAGCTAAAGGGTGGCATAACTCAAAAGGAACAAAATATGTATTAATGTCTGTGGATGGACTCAAATCAAGTCTGATCGACTTCCAAACAAACCTCAAAAGTTTTGCTTTTAGCTGATCAGAAACATTCCCCCACTGTGCTTTATAAAGTGCTATGGACAGAACTGATAGTGCAAAAACAATTATTTTTCCCCTCAGCCTCTTTGCTAGGAACTCATAAATTGCTTAAAGGGTTGAACATAAAATTTGCAACTCAAGACAACTTAATTGGGTAAAAAAATAAATACCATTTAAATTAGTTATAAATTAAATACCATAATAATATGTATTCTATAAATTCATTCTTGGAATATAAAACATTTTTTTATGTATGTGCAGGTTTTCATTATATGTTTTTTTCAGTTCTCCATTTTTATCTGATGGTAATACATAATTTCACCTGCGTGCCTAATGTCTGGTAGAAATGAGACATCATTCTGCTATTTTGAACATTTGAGTCTCCTGAGTATCTGTTTTCATAAAAAGTTATATAAATTTCTTCATTTTAAACTTCTCTTAGCCCACCTAACATGTTTACACAAATGAGCTTCACTAGCCATTCAGCCTACTTTATGAAGAGAGGAAATTGTGACTATGTCGTGTAATTAAAACAACAAGAAGTTGAATTAGAGGTATTCTGTCAAGAAGCAGGGCAAAAGCTCAAGAGGAACTTGCCCCGTTTGTCTCATCTGGTGTGCATTTCCAAAATGACAATAGTAAGGTAGAGTGTGGTCATGGTTAACTTGGCACAGTGTGGAAGGTTGAAGGCAACGAGGCTTCCAAAACCTCCAGCACAGAAGTTTTGCTGAATTTTTCTAAAATGTTGAGTTAGCATAAGAAGAATCTCATACCTCAGAGGGGAGACTATGTGAACACAGAAATGTTTTCATCTCAATGCCATGATCAAACCAAAAGTCTTAATGCAAAGTTTCTATGGAACTAGATTGCAAAATACATGGGGCAATCTGGTATAAAGAAAGAGAGAGCTTGTCACCCCTGACCAGGAATGAAAATAGCAAGTGATTGCCACTGAATCTCCTCCTGACCAGCCTGATATGACGTCTGAATGGGTTTCCTTCCACAGTTAAATTTTATAATAAATATCTGCACAATCCAAAGCACATAGTTGCTAACCTTGGACATAAAGTGCAGGTGGTCAAAATCTGTTCTTCAGTTAATCTCTTCTTTGATAACGATTGCTATAAGAAGAATCTAATTCCAAGTCTGTAAATTGCACCCTATTTGTATCTGAAGAACTCCTATAAGTGTTATCTTGAACTATGATTTTACTTTATTTACTCCAGCTCTTGTGGTGAGTAACGTGAAGTTAAGTCACAATATATCTTCTTCCTGACTGGCTGATATAAATTTGAAGCAAGAGGGAGAAAATTATGAGTTTCTATTGTTCATCTGTAGATGGTAAACGTTCATGTTCAAGTTCTTAACAATTTCAGGGTCTTATGAATATGTAACTGGTGATAGGTATAAGAAATAAGGCATATTTGCCAATAACTTATTTTGTTATAGTAAGCATTACCTTGAACACATCTCTGTAAATTTCTGCTGGAAAAAGATGAATATGTAATGAAAGTGAAGATTTGGTCTGTGTATGTGTAGTTGTCTTATGTGTGCATACATACATGACAAAACTTAAGAAACAATGCGGTCTCAACATTTTCCTGACATAACTGAGAATATGAATGAACAGCCCAAGACTTAAAAGGTAATGTTAGTATCACAGAAATCTATTGCATAGTGTCACATGTACATATTAAAAACTACTTTGTTCCATATAATAGCTTTGAATACTACTACTTTTTTTATTTATTAAATATATAATTGGTATGCACCAGTTGTATTAAAAGAATAGATGCAGTGGGAGGGTGAAATGCTGGGGTTTAAACCCCAAGCCCCAAATTAAGGTTGACATATGGGTGATTCCCACAGCCCTTCCCAAAGGAGGGTTGAGTTTACCTTTAAGCTTCCCTCCAGGGTGCGGCCTTGCAGGGAGAGCCATTGGGTAAAGGAGCCCCAGGTGTCCCACACTAGGTAACCAAAGGTCAGGTGTCCCACTGAGGGATAAAAGCTGGGACCACTTGCAGGGAGGGGCAGTGTCTGTGTGTGAGGTGGATGCACTGTGCAGAGTTCCCTATTGGGGAAGGACCTCCTGCCTCCCTGGAACTGGGCTCCAGTCGGGTCTGGTCTTTGTAAACATGGGCTGTGTAGAGATTCAGTGTGTGGCTTCCTTGGTCTTATGTATTTGGCTTGACTTGGTTGTCTCCTGTCCCTTCTATGGGAGACTGCATTTCACCATTTATTCCACCTGTTGTTGGTTGTGCGGAGTCGTTGTTGGGGTCAGTAGGATTGATGTTGATTATGTATAATCTGACTGATTTGTTTGTACCCCCATTGCTCACCCATGTACTGACCCTTTTGTGTCGAATGCAATTTGGTTATTGGTTCATCTTTATGCTGGCTGTGTCCTTTATGCTAGGCCTAATAATTGGCAAAACAGAGGGACAAGTAAAGAGCAAATACTTGATGTTTAAAGAAATTGAAATAAACTGTAATTTAATGCAGAATGCTTTTAAAACATGGAAATTCACTAGCAAAAATGTGACTTTCAAAATAGTTTTCTTTTGAGGTAGTAGTGTTCCGTAATATTGTACTAAAAGATCAGCTAGAAGATATTTTTTGTAAGCAAAAAAAACCTTTTAAAAAGCCCACAAAACCAAAACTAACTTTGTTGTGAAGTAGCACCTGAAGTTCCCAGTATTCAACATGCTTTTCAGTTGGGGGTTATGTTACCTTAGGCAGTTTACAGTGCTGCCGAGTCTGACAGTGCTTTTAGTGATTTTATATGCCCAGCTACAGTTACCTTTTTAGTATTTCAAAACAGTCAAGAATGAAACCTGTGTTTAGTATGGTTTTTTTCCTGCCTTCTGATTGAAAAATCTGGCTTTTATCCCTTTCTTCTGCTTGCTTTCAGAGCACTGCAGAAGTGTTACTGGACAAGCAATACGGGGACTGTTGCTGTGGTGAATAATCTTACCCTTCACCAGCTCATTTCCTTTCACTCACTCTATATGCAGATATAAAAGGGACGTTTGGTATGGTTTTGTTTGATTTTGGGTTTTTTAAAATTTATTTTTACTGTGGTGAGGTGTGTGCACATAAGGACAGTGTTCCTTTAAAGCCTGGTGATAGATGGAAATGGTGATAAATTGCAGCAAAAATGGACTTTAGTGATGTGATGTTATTCATAGAATGAAGGATCATTGAAATGGGTCCTGTTTTGGAAACTGTGTGCATGCTGATTAGATACATAAACAAGAGGTAGCAGTCTTTAATTATAGTTTCTTCACATTTGTTTTTGCTTTTCTGCATAAATACGTTTTGTTCACATTGCTTAGAAATGCCTGTAAACTTTTTGTTTGCATTTATATACAATTGCATATGCCCTCCACTCTGTTTGCTTTCATCATGCCTGTTAATAAAAATTTACAATAGTGGTGCCACTGGTTCAGGACTGAGTGGAGCAGAACCTATCTCTGCAAAAGCAGTCAGCTTTATTACATTATTTAAGACTTTCATGGAGCAGCATCTTCTGTGCCCTCTTCATTTAGGAATTAGTGAGACATCCCCTCTACCCTGGGGAAACTTGCCAATGCCAGGAGCCCATCCTGAGACGTGCCGCAGGGTTGGAGGGAAGATGAACCCCAGAGAGGAGGGATGAGGGAGTATAAGAGGAAACCTGAAGAACATGCATCACTTGTGGTGGATGGCTGAAACTCCCTTAGAGCAGTTAATTCCGCTTAAGCAGCATTTTTGGTTTTTAAGTGCAAGGACACCTGGATGAGTTTTAAATCAGAGTATTTAATGAAATACACCCTACAGCGGTGATTAATGTGTCCGTAAGCCCATCTCTTTGCCACTGTGTTTCTGAGAGACAATAAAGCCTCATGTTACTTAAACACTTGCTCTCAGATAGCTGTTGATTATTTGCTGCCCAAATCTCTCTTTGGTAGATTTAAGGTGATGATATTGGGAACGTAGAATTTGAACATAAATCCTTGTGCTTCCTTTTTGAATAATATTTCTTCAACCTTTAACAAACAGCCTTGGAGGAGAGCACTGATGATGACAGAAAATGGTTCCGTTTTCCTGGCTGTAATAGCAGTGGCCTTTGACTGCAGTTTAGGACCGTGTTTTTTGTTATGGCATTCCTATTATAATTAGGTTGTGGCAAGTAACATGGACTTGTTTGCATTTCTTGTAACTCTTCATTTGTCACCTAGCAGGTTGAAGAGGAAACAGTGGCCTTTCTTGCTCACAGTGGAAGTGACGAAGAGTTTGATCCAAGTACTCTTCCAGATCCTGACAAATACAAAGATTCTGATGAAGAGCAGGATTCAGAAAGCAAAGATAGCCATAGGTATGTACACATCTTCCATGTTCATTTTGAAATGTTCATGTTTTTTAGAAATTGTTTTGTTTAGATGTTAAGGACTCATTTTACAGTCATCGTCTTGCTTCTGGGAGTATTTAAGTGTGTGAGGTAGGTGCTGAACAGAAAACTGTGCTAAAGGCTATTATTTTCTTTTGTGAAGCTGTATGAGAAAGATTTTGAGTCAGGGTTGAAGGGATCTCAGTGAGACTGTTCCACATGCAAAAACCTTGACTAATTCCCTCGAGGTTTCATGTGTTTCTGTGGTGAGTTCATCCTGACTGGACACCAGGTGCCCACCAAAGCTGCTCTATCACTCCCATCCTCAACTGGATAGGGGATAAAAAATACAACAAAAGACTTTTGTGGGTCAAGATAAGGACAGGGAGAGATCACTCACCAGTTATCATCATGGGCAAAACAGCCTTGACTTGGGGAAAAATTAATTTATTGCCTATCAAATCAAAGGGTAATGAAAAAATAAAACACCTTCCCCCCATCCCTCCCTTCTTACTGGGCTCAACCTCATTACTAATTTCTCTGCCTCCTCCTCCTCAGCAGCACACGGGGACAGGGAAGGGATGTTGAGGTCAGTTTATCACATGTTCTATCTTCTGCTCCTTCCTCTTCTGGTGGAGGACTTCTCACACACTTTCCCTGCTCCAGCATGGGGCCTCTCCTGTGGGAGACAGTCCTCCACAAATTTCTTCAATGTGAGTCCTTTCCATGGGCTGCAGTTCTTCACAGACTGCTCCAGCTGAGTCCCTTTCACAGGCTGCAGTCCTTCAGGCACAGACTGCTCCAGCGTGGGTCCCCCACAGGGTCACAAGTCCTGCCAGCAAACCTGCTCCAGCGTGGGCTCCTCTCTCCATGGGTTCACAGGTCCTGCCAGGAGCCTGCTCCAGCGTGCGCTTCCCACGGGGTCACAGCCTCCTTTGGGCATCCACCTGCTCTGGAGTGGGGTCCTCCCTGGGCTGCAGGTGGAGATCTGCTCCATCGTGGACCTCCATGGGCTGCACCACGGGCTGCAGGGGAATCCCTGCTCTGGTGCCTGGAGCATCTCCTGCCCCTCCTTCACTGACCTTGGTGGGTGTCTACAGAGTTGTTTCACATAGTCTTGTTCCTCTCTTTGGCTGCTGTTGTGCAGATTTTTTTCCCCTCTTCTCAAATACATTTATCACAGAGGTGCTGGCTCTGTTGCTGATGTGCTCAGCTGTGGTCAGTGGTCTTGGATCCAGCTGGCCTTGGCTCTGTCAGACATGGGGTAAGCTTCTAGCAGCTTCACACAGAAGCCACCCCTGCAGCCCTCCACTACCAAAACCTTGCCATGCAAACCCACTACAGTTTCAGAAATGCATTTCTCTACTGTGACGTTACAGGTTCTGTTTGAAAGGAAAAACGTTGAAGGCATTTCAGGATTTGGATGAGCCCTCTGTACCTGTGCTATATTAAATAAATTTGTGCACAGTGAAACTTGCTAAGTGTTATGATTCAGTGTTGCTCAGACTCTTCAACACTACAAATGACATGGAATCTGAGTTAGAAGTAAATATATAATAAAATCAACGAGGTTAAACTTTTCTTCTTAATTTAAAACAGTGTTTTTAATTATATTAACAGAAAAGCACAGGGGTGGGGATGAGAATCTGTAGTTAATGGCACCATACTGCAGTTCTTCAGCACATACTGTGGGAAGATGGAGGGATACTGCATGAGGTCCTATGTGGGTTTTGTGGACACTAGTGGACAAGAAGTCCAACTAGTGTGTTTCTGACAAACAGCCTGTCGTGTAACGGATCCAAAAACATGATCTTGACACTTAAATGAGATCCTAATTTTAAATGAGATCTTTATTTTTCTCTTCTAGATGTCTAGATTTATAAATCTCTTGCTTTTCATGTCTGAATCAGCTAAATTTTAGTGGCTAGATTGTCCCTAGGCCCTGCATAGCAGTATGTAGGACTCAGTGTTGGGACATGGATTTACGGACTGGATAACCCAAAGTTAACAGACTGGTAACCATGTCCCCTGTAGCCCATTCAGCAGTGTGTTGGTCAGTAGAACTGACAAGGATGGGGGAAATACATCCCCCTAATCACACATGGTAATTGATTTTTAAAAATATTTTTTCTTGGTTTTAGTATTCTAGGTTTACACATGTAACTTTAATACCACGTAGACACTGTTTAATCCTTTTTGGTTTTCCATTTTATTGGACTTGTCCTTACTTGAGTTACTTTTCAGGGAATATTTTCTTGGAACTTTGATGTCTATAGTATAATATTTCAGTTAACCAAAGGAGTTTAGTGTTGAATGTAATTTGGGCTGAAGAGAGTAACTGAGCACAAAAAATACGCTCTCTCTCTACATATATATGTATATGATTCAACTGGAGCTAAGATGGATTTTTTTTTTCTGCCATGTATTAAGGCTTGTCAGGTTTTAATTTACTGAGTATACTGTAAATATGTTGATTGAACTATGTTTGGAGGTGACTTTAGAACAAAGTGCACCATTAGAACATTTTCCATAGTACACCACTATTTACAGTGTATCTGTGTATTTGATAAACAACTTAAAGTTCAAGAGGGTTTTACCAATGAAATTTTCTTTTTTTAAATTACAAATTTTGCCTTGACTGGCAAAGGGTCATTCATTTAGAAGGTTGGATTTTATTTGCTCTTTGGAACCTAGTCATATGTGGAAGCTATTTTGTCTAAAAATCATATTTCAGATTTTTAATAAGAGACACCAAGGCTCATCAGATAAAACATATTTTCTGTTACAATTTATTTAAGATGATATATTAATTTAAGGTCTTCTATATATTTGAAAATGTAGTTGATGGTCATTTAAAATCTCAACATTATTCAGTTCTTTAAAAGGTGGTCTTGCAAAGAAACTGTTAAAACATAAATTTTATGATTTTTCACATACAATATCAGCACATTCTTGCCCTGCAAACCCTGCTGCCTTGCACAGTTACATTTTTTTTGCATTAATTTTATGTCTAGAGTTGCAATTTGGTTTTACTTCCTTAAGTAAAATGTTTGTGTAAATCTGTCATATCCATTTAGTGCTCTGGGGGGTTATAATCTGGCTGGGTCACTCTTTTGGTATCAGTTTTGGGCATTTAAGCTTTCCCTGGCTAGGAGCAAGACATTTTTGGAATAACAAACGTCTGAAGAACTGCTATCACTTGAAGCTTCATAACCAGCCTCTGTCATCTTCAGGACACAGTACTGGTCTCAGTTGTTTGCCTTGACTTTTGGTTGACTTTTTAATAAGCAAGTTCCTTAACTTCATCCAATGGGATTTTAAAAGGTTTTTGTTCATTTTTCCATCTTTACACAATTCATGCTTTACTCGTTTTCTGTCTTGTCTGTGTTTGCTGGAGGATGAGGGCAATGGATAGTAGATGTTTTCAGCCTATGTTAAGAAGGCAAGAGGACTGAAATTTGCAAAAAGTGAATCAGATTGCTTCAAGTTCTTCTCAAGCATTTAAGCTGAGCAGGAGTTAAAAAGGACCCAAAGAGCAGTTTCAAACAGCCTAACTAGACCTGACATACAGAGCTTTCTAGAGGAGGCCACATCAGTTTAGGCACTGCTCTGATGGGAACAGTGCTACAGATAAACCTGAAACATCAAAGACTAGAATTTTGAGTTTATTATCAGCAGCGATTTCCAGAAGCAGAGACACTGATATTGTATTATATTATAGCTGGGGAGAGGCTGGGAGTGAGTGGATTTGTCAGTCATTGCTAAGGATAGTAATTAAATTGAAGTGATTGGTGAGAACAGCCAGGGCAGGTATGCAAAAAGAATAGGAGAGTGAAAAACTGTGGGGTGCTCACAAGGTTAAGAGCAGTGGATGACAACATACTGATAGATAGATTTAGAAGATGACTGGGTCCAGGACAAAATCACATTTCTAGGAGTGCCTGAAAGGAGCGTGTTAGAATTAAGAGCCATTGGTGACTACAGTGCAGCATGTGGCAATTAATCCTGTGCGGGCTTGAGCCTGCCTAGGGAACATCATTCATGTCTTTACAGGCTAAATGGATTTGGCCAGGTGCGGGTTTAAGTACTGGCAAATGATTGTCCGTATTGTCCACAACTGCTGTGACTTCAGATGGTGCCAACTAGAGCTCTTCTGGGCAACATCCCAGTGTATTTTGGTGCAGTAGGACAGGCCAAGGACTGTTTCCAGTAGGCAGTGTTGATGCAGCCACATTTCTTTTAGGTGTGTGTGGGTGAAAAATGCAATGGTCTGTTCTCTAGCTCAGATGTCAGCTTTGAGACTTAGTGTAGTCTGGAGACTTGTGAGGATTTTGTGAAAGCAGAGGCACAACTGAAAGAGGAAGATGCAGTGAAGGAAATTAATTTAGGGCTGGATAAAGATGAAATCCAGACAAGGAAGAGAATTTGAATGATCAGTAAGCCTCTGAATAAAGGAAAGTGATCTCTGAAGAGACTGGTGGTGAGTATAAGGCCATGGAGAAGTAGTATTGATTTTGCATGAAGGAGGAGAGAGGTAGAGGAGATGTACGCATGAAAAGAGGAAGGAGGATGATGGGGATCTGGCACACCAAGAAGAATAAATGTGAGAACAGGCAAGAATCTTGCTGTTAGCGGGAAGGAGGGGTTTCTGCTAAATGCCTTATGCCTCAGGCCACTCAGTGCTGTCACTGAATTGTATGATGAGTTGCTTTTGGGGCTGGGAAATATTGACTTAATGATTTTAACAAAAACAAATCAGCTGAGAGTAGCACACAGTGAAATTAGGCTTTGAGATTAGAAAATACAACTCTCTTCTGGTTTATATTTCCAAAATTCAGAGATACTGCACAAAATTTTGGATTAAAACAGAAATATGTTGGGCTATACTAGCTGCTACTTGCTTTAAGGGAAAAAAAAAAAGCTTCTGAAAGGAATAATTCAAAGCAAATGTGTGAGACCTAGAGTATCTTCCTTCATAAGTCTTTAAA